AGGATCCAGATGGGTGGACTACACAACTGCAAGCTGGCTTCTTGCTGCCTCATCTGCCAGCTCAGCTCACTGATGAAATGTGTCTTTATCACACAGACATAGCCCAACTCCTCACACCTCTATATCCGAGTTTTTGAAAGACAGAAAAAAAAAAAAAAAAAAGTTTAGAAAACGTTGGAAAAAAAAGAGCTTAATATAGGTATATCACCGTATCACTAAACGGAGGGGCCGGATCAATCAAACCCGGCCTGGGTGGCTAATTCTTCCAGCCAGTTCAATCATTCCCTTTCCTCGAATCACTGCGGTTCCATTGCTGTGTTTCTCTCTCTCTTTTTTTTTTTTTTTTTTTTTTTTTTTTTTTTTGTGTGTGTGTAGTCTGATGGACCACGGATCAGATATTAAACTGATCATCACAACAGATACACTGCACTTGATCTTAGCCAAAAGGCCACGAGAGGTTTTCCTTTTCCTTTTCTGCTTTTTGAAATTTGTAGCGTTAATCGATCTATGCCTGTCAATCCTTGGGCAGGGGCCATGCTAATCATCTCTGTATCGTTCCGATTTTAACGGATGTCCCAGAGGACTGTGGTTCTGTGTCATGACCTGTTGTTACCTCAATTTACTACAAAGTACGGTCGGGGCACACACTGTCCGTAGAGAGGGAGAAGGGGATTTATCTTGTAAAGCTCTTTCATCGGTAGTGAGATAATGAACAAAACCGAAGAAGAAGCCCCGGCTGAGAATGTTCAGTGTAAGGGTTAAATTCCACTGGTGTTTTAGCATGAACCTGGTCATAACCATGGTCATGTTTGCGCTTTTTAGCATGAATGTAGCACCATTGGGGGCTGGCGTTGATGGAGTAGGAGTGGTACTGAACTGTTGGCTCCTGTAACAGTTGCCCACAAAAGGCCGCCTTCGGTGCTATCATTTTCTTTTTCTTTTTTTTGTCCTTCTTTCTTTCCACCTTGCTCCTACCAGGGCTTGACTCAGCGGAACACATTGGGAATTAGACCATTCTTGCATGAGGATTTCCCCGAATGTATTTAGCCCCCAGTACCGAAGAGTCCTGGATGTACCGGGTCACAATCACAGGCAGAGATCAGTTGAAAAAGTCTAGTAGCTGTGACTAGGGGATGAGCCTAGACACTTTCATGATGATAGTAGATTGGACTTGCCTGAATTTTCTGTGTACTGGGGATGACAGATTGCTGCTGGGTGTGAGGTTGCCTGCCACTCATACATTGCATGCCCAAGGTCACATGATAAATGGAAGAATGGTAGATGGAAGCATGCTAAATGAAAGAATTTTTTAGCAATTGACAGCAATTTCATTAAAAATGGACATTTTAATGTGATTTTATATTTTTTGAATGAAATAGAAACCGACTTTTTGGACCCAAAAGTCATGAAATTTTGATGCTCCTTGGGGGTCCGGCGTTCTGAAAACACCATACCCCCTGCATGTATTTGGACTCGGATGAATTCGTGATACATCCAGGCCAGGAAACGCCGGACCCCCTGAAACTTATCTGGACTTCAACTAAGTCCAGATACATCGAGGGAGACCCTCAGGAGTATCAATATTTCATGATTTTTGGGCCAAAAAAGTCGGTTTCAATTTTGTTCAAAAAATGTAACATGTCCATTGTAACGAGATCGC